TCAGGCAGAGTGAGAACTTAAAGGGGCAACCGGAAAGAAGATTTCAACATCATGACATATGAGAGCCAAAGGCAGGCAGGTCCAGGTCAGCCCCGTATGTGATCAGTGTGTCTGCTTTCAGATCGGTGTCCTTGTCTTAAGTTTGAAATGAGACATGAAAGCCATGTGAAAGGTAATAATACTGTAGCACCTAAAGTTAAAAATGAGTTGAAGACTAAATTTTTGTCTCATATTCAGGAAAAAAAGGGCAGTATAAATATTTCTCTTGTTTGTATTGCTTTTTTTAAAAATTTGAGCTGTCACTGACCTCTTAAAACCTATGAGGTTCAGAGACATAGCTCAGTGATAGAGAGCATGCTTAATATGTGCCTGGCCCCGGTTCATGTTCCACCACTTAGATTGCAAATCATTTAATTGATAGTGGCGTGATCGTGACAAAAATACTTGTTCATGTCATTTATTCATCCCCTCATGAAACTGTGCTACATCATTCAGAGGATGAGATCACATAATTTTGGAAGTAATCCTGCATTTACTGAGGAAATAGTTATCTTTTTATTGTAATTCCAAGCTAATTTTTATTGGGTCTTCCTGGAATTTCATTTAAATTTCCAAAGGTTTCTTCTAACAATAATCTAGGTCGTGAAATGTTGATGATTATTTTCTTTACAACTGATTTAAAAAACATATTTTTCCTTGTGCTATAAATATCCTCTCAGCAATATGAGAAATGACAGCAGTATATAATGCTGTAGGAGAGACTTGAGGGTGTAAATTCTATATCTGGATATTTTGTAGTTGAATTCTAGCTTTAACACTTGGTGTCTGAGAATTTCAATGTGTAAAAATGATTGATAACCGTACAAACCAGAGGACTTTTAATGTTTAAATGAGAATAAAGTGTGTTTAAATCAAAAACGTGATGCAGAGTAAGACTTTTTATCAGTAAAAATTTGTCATATTGCATGATAATATAAATTTTACAGATATACAAAATACATGTATATGTAGACAGACATAATGTGTTTGTGTCCTATCTTAGTATTTTGAAATTTATCTTAGTAATTGGACCTTCCTGTTTATCAGGCATTTCTTTTTATAAATTTTTATTTGTGAGCTGAATACTGTTTTATTTTCCATTTTGATGTCCTTTATATTGAATGCTTTATAAATTTCATTCTAAAGCATAATTTAACTTTTAATTTTTTATTAAAGCAGTCTTGGTGCTAACACAATGTATTTCCATCTGATTCGCAAGGCCTCCTGGGAAGAGCAGTGATTACCATGCATGGTTCCCCTGTCACTCTTGAATTCTGTGTAACTGTAGAGGAATGAGGCTGCCCTCTTAGGAGATGCTTGAATGCATGTGTTTCCATCCAAAACAAGTCCAATTTTTATGTTCTCCTTCAGTATTTTCCTTCGACATAGTTGCACTCTAATGTTTAAAGTAGCTACTTTTAGAAACACTTTTAGTACTTTAGTATTTAAGTAAGGAGAATTTAGCCCTATTGCCTTCCATAAGTGTCATTTGACAGAGCTCATCTCTTACTGCCCAGTATTTGTTTAGTTTTCCTCACTTTTCTTCTCTTCTGTCCTGTGTGTTGTTATCTCCCAGCTGCTATTCCACCCGGAGTTGGAGTGGTATCACTGAGTTTATGATCTGAGCTGTCTGCCCACTCTGCAGTGCCCTGAGAGATTGTAATTTAGCGAAGTCCCAAGACACCCCACAAATTGTAAACTGACAACTCTATGCCCTTACACAAGGAAAGGAAAACAGGAACTTGAACTGTAGCCAACACAGTCAAATTCAAAAAGCCATGTCCTGATATACTTGTAGTGTTCGTTCTGAATTTATGTGATCCAAACACACAACTTTCTTTTAATTTACGAGAACATCAATATTTTGTTTACCCACTCTCCATTTTTTGAAGCCCTCTTACATGCTTGTTTTGCTTTTGCTGTATTGTTTGCTTGTTTGGTACTGACATGGAAATCAGTGCCTTTGCACTGAGCTACATTCCAAGCCCTTTTTATTTTGAGACGAGGTCTTGCTAAGTTGCGCAGGCTGGACTCCAAGTTGGGATCTTTCTGTTTCACCCTCCCAGAGTGCTGAGACAACAGGCATGCAGCACAATACCCCCCAGGTGCTTGGTTCTTTAGGGAAAAGTGATACAAATGTAGGAAGTCACAGTCTCTGTTCTCAAATGCATCTTTATTACACTGTAGAGTTAAGCACTATACTAAGATACTCCAAGGGCGGGGAACATCAGGAAAACATGTCTGCGATTGTGGCAAAGTGGGGCTGGTGGTCCTGGAGAGAACTCTTTTAAGTGCGTAGGCATCACACTGTATTTCCTGGATGCAAGAGAAAGATCTGCAGGATGGTAACATTTTGGGAATGCTTGTGCTGTCAAATGATGGTTGGATATGTAAGACATTTTCCAAATAGGATTTATGTATTCTTTAAAAAAAATAGGAATGATTAACCTGTGTAAACAGTCTATAATATTGAAAGAACAGGTGTGATTCACTGAAAGAATGCTTGTTTAGTGAAATTCAGCCACCTGACTATCAAGTTGCTTGTAGCTACCATTCAAGTAGTCTATCATGCCATTTAAACGAGAACTTAGATTGCTCTTGTAACATAGAACTTAGTAACTGGCCAGACCTGGATGAATGCTAGAAAAACTATAGTAAGCTTCATCGTGTAATATTTTCAAATTCTCCTTCAAGATATAATATTTTCACTGTGAAGTTTCCACTAATTTGTTTCATATTATATTATAGTGTATCTGATTTTAATCAATAGTGATTTTATAAAGGAGAACTCAATTTTAATTTTATCCTATTGACTTTCTGCTCCATATCTAATTCTTTATCCATTTGGGGACAAGATGCTAGGCTAGCTAATGAATTTTGTCACTGTTTTGGCATGTGTACAGTTACTTAACATTCTACTAAGAGCCAAATACTAATACAGAAATAGCATAATGAATACTAAATATTACAATAATTAGTTGAACTGATGCCTGTGTAAACTTCATAAATAGACTCACTAAAAGGCTCAAAAACTGATATGACTAGTTGCAGTATGGTTAGAAAATATTAATACTTGGAAGAAAATGAAGGAAAATACTTTTCATTATAAAATGCCTGTCATTTTGATTACTATCTTGGAAATAATACAGAAAAATATAATAAAGAACATGAAAAATCATGTAAATTAGTGATTTAGTTACATTGACTTTTTGTATTTCTATTCTTTAAAATTCAAATGTATGTTGATGTTTTAAATCTATTACCACCTTGTAAGTGTACATAAATACATGGCAAGAAGAGATTTTTAAATTTTATTTTAGACAGAATAAAATCAAGTGACACAGGATTTCAAAATAAGTTAGTAGGAAATCAATAATGGTTGCCATAATTCCTCTTGTTGTCTTCAAAATAGCTCTCTTTACCTTCACACACAACAAAATCAAACAAAACAGAAAAAAGATTAGATAAAATAAAAAACAAAACAGTGAATGTAATACAGTACTTCAAAACAAGACAAGAATAAATTCAAAATGGCTACTATAATATATCTTGTTATCTTTGAAATAGCTACCCACAACATCAGATACAACAAAATCAAACAAGATAAAACAAAATAAAACCCAACCACACAAAGCAATGAGAGTTATACAAGATTTGGAAACAAGATAATAGGGAATTAACAACGACCACTACCTTCAGAAGGAGATTCCCCATATGTGCTACATTGCATATTGTTATCCTATGAATAAATGATCAGATTGACTCCTGGCTTTACTGCAAAGTCAGTGAAACACTAAACACTGCAAGCATTAAGCTGTATTTTACCTCAGTAGCTATCATTTCTGCCTGTATTTCTCCCGATCAGCTGGTCACTTATGGGGCTGGGAAACATTGGCTCTTCTGGTCTCCTTGCCCGTTCACTAAAAGGGGCTGGCATCTGACTCTTTCAGTCATCCCACACACGGTGCCAACTCACAGGAGGCCTTAGCTTCTTGTCAACTACTTGTTCTCTTCCCCTGCAGTCTGGGGATGGTGCTGACTCACAGGGGAGGGCTGGCATCTGCTCTCCCCCAGTCACCCACGCATGGCGCCGACTCACAGCGAGAATAGATACTTGTGTGTGTTTGGTTATTTGGCATGATTCACCAAAGTCTTTCTCAATTTCTGTCCCACAGGCTTAAGAGAGAAAAATAGTAGTGTATGCCCTGAGTTAAATCCCCAGAGCCACCAACAGAAACAGAGGAGGGAGGATGGGAAAGAGAGAGGGAAGATGGCATGGTGGGCGGATGATTGGTATTTGACACATAGCAGTGTCTTAGCCTAGGAACCTATTAAAGGAACCAGAATATTTCTTGGCAAACTCAGAATTTATTTTAAAATCTTGTGTGTTCATGAAGATATGGACAGTTATTTTGAAGAAAACAAGAGACATTGTGGCAGCCATTGTTGATTTTCCTGTTGTGTGGTTGTAAATGCCTACCATGCCTTCATTTCTCTGTTCTGATCAGTCTTATACTTTTTTGTTTTGTATGAATTCATTGTGTATGAAGATATAGACAGCTACTTAGAAGAAAACAAGAAACATTATCGTAGTCACTGTAGATCTCCTGTTGTCTTGCTTTAAAATCTGTCACTTACATTGTTTTCTTCTGATCCACTTTGTTCTGTTCTGTTTTGTTCTGTTTAGCTTTACCCTCTTTAAAATTAAATAAAAATAAATAAATAAATTCTTGTGTCTTATTTCAATTAGGAAAATATTTAAAGAAATTTTCACAAACCGAGTGAATTTGGTACAGGACTGTGTGTTCTATATCTCCGGAATTTCCTGTTTTTACCATAGTCTGCGGTGGTGGCCCATGTGTAAAGCAGTAAGAATCTTTAAAATGGTTTCACAGTAACTGTAGAATAAAATAAACATTTTCTCTTTATCTAACTGAATCCTTTTTTTTTTTTTTTTACAGAAATGCTTAATTCAATAAAGCAGAGGGAAAAAACATGGACTTTTAGCAATTAAAGAACAAATTAAGGTAATATTATTGTAATTCATATTTGTTTATAATTTCAAAATACATTTACTATATATTTAAGTTATATGCCATCTTGAGTTTTTATCACATTTAAAATATCTATATTTTAATGGAATTTTACATTTTTGATAAATAAATTGATGTTTATCATATGTCTTTGGAAAATAATGTGACATATTTTCTGAACAAATTACAGAAATATACATGACCATATTTGCTGAAATGAGAAAATATATTGAATAAATGGGCAAAATAAATGGGCAAAAACTAAATAGTTTTAGTTAGCTCTCTACTTTTCAGGAAGATATATATGTTGTGTTAACGTTTTTAGCTAATACTAAACAACTACCCTAAGCTTTTCTTTCCTATTGGAGCATAGACACCAGCCCAGTGTATCATTGTCATTTTTGTTAAATTGATTTCATTCCTTCTCAATTACATACCCATAAGCATGAATGATATCAGGAATGAAAATGTACTCATTTTGCATTCAGCATGATGGTTACTCTAAAGCAAATTATTTTCAAGCATGATATTTTTGTTTATTACAGATATATTTAAGGGTACAATATGAAAAATTTCAGAGTATAACTTTAGATCAATGTGCATATTTACCTCTTCCCTGGCAAATTATAATTGGCAAACAGGCCTTTATGTTAATCAACAGCACAAGTACAACTTCCTCTCTTTTTGAAGTTACTGAAATTAACTCTTGTAAAATGTCTCTGCAGTGTTTAAAATGGAAATTATTATAAATATATAGTCGAGAATTAGAAATATCACCTTTTTCATGTTTATATTAAAATGATTCATGCTCAATTTTGAACCATTGCTATAATAATATACTTACATAATTGGTATGTATTTTAAACTACTATCTATTTTCAGAAAATGTACCTTTCCATTTACTAAAGGTTGTGAGTGATTTAGGACAAGAAACATAGCACTTGGTTTTGTAGGCAGAAACTTTGAAATTGATATTCCTACTGTTAAATATTTTTACCTTATTTTACACTATTTTCTTATCTGTAACATTTTCATGTGCAAACAGTATTTTTCCACACTCAGAGCAGATAACATTACATCTTCCATTTATTGGCTCATTGCTTTGAATATGAAGTGTAGTTGTTGGCACCAAATGTTAGTAAAATTAACTAAATTAATAAACATTTTCATCATTGTTCATTTTAATCCGAATAAACCTTAAATGCTCTTACTCCACTTACTCTAGAGTTTGAAAACTGGTTGGAAAATGGAGCTCTAGATAACATACTGTATACATTTAGAACAGAAGGCGAGTGACAAATGGCTGTGAAAAGAAAAGTGGGAGCAATTCACTTCTACTAGAGGTTCCCAAACCCCTCCCAGAAGCTGTGAAAGTCACTGAGACCTTGTGGTGATGGTGAAAATTAGGTCTAGCATTGCCAGCCCACAGATTCCTTCCTGAAAGAGTAAGCCATAGCCCTTGAAGGATGGATCTTTCTAATGAAGCAAAAAGATCACACAGGTGATGAGACAATCCCAGGAGATGGGGTGTGTAAAGTAAGTTTAGAACTCCCGTGGCATATCATATTTGCCCCAAAACTCTAATTTTGTAGTCTAGATGACATTTAGACACTCAATATTAATCCCGGGAATGTGGAATAAAATTTCAGATCCTTGCTTCATATGTGTTTTCATTAAAAATTTTAGAAACAATTAAGGCTTAATAACATTTCCTGTAATGAAGGTGGCAGACCCCCAAAATGACATATTTGGCAGAATAATAGTAATTTTTCTGCATTGAATGGTTGGTGATTTGTTTCTTGATTTTCCACTGGGATGTACTTTATAGAGGATTTAATATACTTATCTTGTTAAAGTGAATTAAAGTCACTTGTTTTTTGTATATTCAGATTTTCAGCTGTCCCTGTTGTTTAAGAAAAAAAATTTTTTTATCATCCTTAAAATTTACTTTGCGTCCTTTAGTGATTATGTCCCATTCCTTTCTCATCTCCTTTCTTGGCAGCATAGTTTCTGTCTCTGTAGCTTTATCACACAGAATGAATTATATGACCTAAATCCCGGGCAACATGATTAATTTTTAATGTATGAATGTTATTTTATTAGATGCATGTACCAGATTGTGTTATTCATTCTACAGTTGATGAATATTTGGAGGTTGTTTTTTTTTCTTCACATTTTAAGATATTAGTATATAATTTAACATGGTACATTTGTGTAGAAATATCTGTATAATTGTGTGTATTCTTTTCTATACATAAAGAGATTTGCTTGGTGATATGATAGCTTTGTGTTCAGCTTTTTTTTTTTTTTTTTTTTGTTACCGGGAACCTAACTCACAACCTCACATTTGCCAGACAGGTACACTGCTGCTGAGCTATATAAGTTCAGCTTTTCGAGGAACCTCTAAAATGTTTTCCAAGTTTTTAAACCATTTAGCATACCAGCCACAAACATGAATGCTCCAGCTTTTCTACATAGTGCCAAAAGTTGTTACTGTGTGTCGTTTTAACTACAGCCATCCTTATGAATGTCAGGTGGTATGTCACTGGGTTGCAGTGGTGATAGTTTTTTTTTTTTTTTTTTTTTTTTTTTAGGTTTTTTTTTTTTTTTAATTAAGGAAAAAAAGAAAAAAAAAGTAGGGTACAAATTATACACAATTTTAGAAAAAATAAACAATAGGGAATCACTAGTTAATAGATTACATATTGTTATCTTAGAAATAGTTGTTCAAAATTAAAGCATATAAAGTAGACTTTCAAACAATGATACTGGAAACAGTTTTGTTCAATGATCCAACAAAACTCAGTAATATGGTTATCTATCTTATACACTTAAATATATATGCGGTTATATTCTTACTGTGCTTTAGTGTACTGATGTTATGGCGTTTGCTTTGTATTAGTCACGTTTCTAATTGCTAGACACAGTACCTGACATCCACAACCTAAAAAAGGAGAGATTGGATTGTCTTATGTTTTATGGAATTGAGCCCCTGGTCAGCTGGTTTCAAGGCAGAAATACCATGGAAGAAGGGCACAGTGATCAGAGATGCTTCGTGTATGACACGAGAAGCAAAGTGGGAACAGGGGCAAAGAAGCAGGTACAGTTCCCCAGGCCATACCTCTCTGAAACATCCATACACCTGAAATGTGCTCCATCAGTCTCCATGGTGGATACCAAAGCCAATCAGAAAGACATTCCAGCATAACAGCCCCTCTCCACCCTTGTCAACTTGACACCCAACAGTTCTCCTTACACTGTCTTTGTCTCCAAATAAAACACAACAGCAAGGCCAGAATTCTGCCTAATACAAGTACTGTGCATACAACTGGAAAGTTAATGGTTCCTTCCCAAAGTCTCAACATGTACACCATTTTTTGAAAGCACAAGTCTAGATTTATTATAGGACTCAAAGCAAACCCTTAACTGTGAATCTCTGTTTTAAAAAAAGGAAGAAATTATAAATTCCCAAGATACAGTGGCACAGTGTAAATATTTCCATTCAAAAAGAGAGAAATAGAAGATAGAAAAAAATTGGACCAAAATGTGACATAGCAAGTAAACTTCAAGTCTTGTAGCTTTGTATCTGGCATCCGTAGTTAAACTCAGTTCTAAGGGCTGTGGTTGCCCCACACATAGACCCTTGCCTGTTGGAATCCACCTGTCTCTTATGTCCTGCAGCTTTCCTTAGCAGACATTCCACACTTCTGACATCTCTGAGTTCCTGAATCTAGTGCACTTTGGCTACAATCTTGATGCCCCACACATTGCCCCTTAGGGGTCTTCTCCAGACCTTTCAGGTCTTCCTTTGGCCTCCATGACTCAAAAATTTGAGTTCTGTATGGTAGTAAAATGAGCATAACATGTATACCACCCAGATCTGCAGTCAATAGTAGCCAGGACCCCTTGGACTGTAGTTGCAGAGGCTTTTGAGGGCCTGGATGTCCGAGCACAGTGAAATGAATCATAGGGAACTAATACTGCATGAGTCCATGTGAAGCAGGCAGCCCAAAGCCCCTCTTCTGAAATAAAAGGTTGATACCTTTACACTTGAGATTGGGATAAGTAAGGTTTTGCTGATTTCTGGGATGTCCACAAGGCATCTTTTTTTCTATCCCTGTTCAAAGTACTTGGTTTCACTAATCTTTCTAGGAAGCACTAATCTCTTTTGGCCTTGAATTTACATGTGATTTCTTCTTGGCCACAACTTAAGATTTTCAAAATTTTCTGCTCTGACTTTTGCACCCAATTCTCACTATAAGTCTGGTGGGAAGCTTCCATCAGTATCCTTGCCACACCTGAATGAAATTTCTTCCATCAGATAAAATAAATGTAGAGCTATTGTCTTCCAGATCTAAACACACATGGTCTTGATCCATCTACCAGTAGAATCCTTGTTTGACTGAAGCCTCCTGCAACTGGCCTTTCTTTCTGCATTCCTAACAGCATTCTAGTCTTCTGAACTCACAACAGAATCATCCATAAAGTTCATTTTCCAGCATTTTGATCCTCAACCCCAACTTCCTTCCACAGACAGTTCACAAGCTTCTACCACAGAGTCAGGTACACTTATAGCCTTTTCTCTGCTACCAGTTTTCCCTAAAGTCTGCTTTCCTATTGCTAGATACAGCACCCACCAACCAGAATTCCAAGGAGGAGAGGTCTAACTTGCTTCACGTTTTAAGGAGATTCTTTCTGTGGTCAGTTGGCTTTAAGGCACAAAAATCATGTCAGAAGGGCAGAGCAGAACCACATACCCAGTTCATGACAGTTGGAAAACAGTTCAGAGGAAGAATGCCAGAGAATAGCCTGTGGGGATATCTATCCCAAAGCCTCGCCCCTCTCAGTGACCCACCCAGAAGACTAACCAGAACTGAGCTCTCCCAGTCCATCCCCCAAGCATATTTAAAGCCAATTAAGTTGACTACTGTCCTAATTGCCTCATTGCTTAAGTGCATTCATTTGATTACTGTCAAATTTGCACTTGTCCTCAC